CCCTCAGAATGGGAGAAAATATTTGCAAATGAAGCAAGTGACAAATTAATCTCCAAAATTTACAATCAACTCATGCAGCTCAATATCAAAAAATCAAACAACCCATCCAAAAATGGGCAGAAGACATAAATAGACATTTCTCCAAAGAAGATATACAGACTGCCAACAAACACATGAAAGGATGCCCAACATCACTAATCATTAGAAAAATGCAAATCAAAACTACAATGAGGTATCACCTCACACCAGTCAGAATGGCCATCATCAAAAAATATACAAACAATAAATGCTGGAGAGGGTGTGGAGAAAAGGGAACACTCTTGCACTGTTGGTGGGAATGTAAATTGATACAGCCACTATGAAGAACAGTATGGAGTTTTCTTAAAAAACTAAAACGAGAACTAACATACGACCCAGCAATCCCACTGCTGGGCATATACCCTGAGAAAACCATAATTCAAAAAGAGTTATGTACCACAATGTTCATTGCAGCTCTATTTACAACAGCCAGGACATGGAAGCAACCTAAGTGTCCATCGACAGATGAGTGGTTAAAGAATATGTGGCACATATATACAATGGAATATTACTCAGCCATAAAAAGAAATGAAATTGAACTATTTGTAGTGAGGTGGATGGACCTAGAGTCTGTCATACAGAGTGAAGTTAAGTCAGAAAGAGAAAAACAAATACTGTATGCTAACACATATATATGGAATCTCAAAAAAAAAAATGGTTCTGAAGAACCTAGGGGCAGGACAGGAATAAAGACGTAGATGTAGAGAATGGACTTGAGGACACAGGGAAGGGGAAGGGGAAGCTGGGACAAAGTGAGAGAGTGGCATGGACATATATACGCTACCAAATGTAAAATAAATAGCTAGTGGGAAGCAGCTGCATAGCACAGGGAGATCAGCTCCATGCTTTGTGACCACCTAGAGGGGTGGGATAGGGAGGATGGGAGTGAGACACAAGAGGGAGGGGATATGGGGATATATATATATATATATATATATATATATATATATATGTATACCTGATTCACTTTGTTATAAAGCAGAAACTAACACACCATTGTAAAGCAATTATACTCCAATAAAGATGTTAAAAAAATTCAAAAATAAAATAAAAATAACAACAACAACAAGAAAAGTGAACAGAGCCTTAATTATCTGTGAGCCAGTACCTAATTTATGTCATCAGAATTCGAGAAGATTTTCAAAAAGAAATATTTGAAGAAATAATATATGAATATTTCCCAGATTTGAAAAGACATAAACCAAGAAGTTCAGTGAAGCACAAATAGCAAGGTGAACCCAGCAACACACGAACAAGATTTAACCCAGAATGCAAGGTTGGTTTAACAAACAAAAATCAATCATTATGGGACTTCCCTGGCGGTGCAGTGGTTAAGACTCCGCACTCCCAATGCAGGGGTCCTGGGTTTGATCCCTGATCCAGGAACTAGATCCCACATGCATGCTGCAACTAAGAGTTCACTTGCCACAACTAAGGAGCCTGCCTGCTGCAACTAAGGAGCCCGCCTGACGCAACTAAGACCCAACGCAACCAAATAAGTAAATAAATATTAAAAATCAATCATTATAACTCATAATATTAAGACAAAAAAGGATAAAAACCACATGATCATCTCAATAGACGCAGAAAATGTACTTGACAGATAAAAACACTTAAAAAATTAGGAACAGAAGAGATCTTCCTCAACCTAGTTAAAGCACTGACCAGCTAACATCATACTTAATGGTTAAAGACTGAAAGCTTTCCACCCAGGATCTGGAACAAGACAATGATATCCTCTCTTGTCACTTCAGTATTACACTGGAAGTTCTAGCAAAGTAAATTAGGGAAAAAAAAGAAAGAAAAAACATCCAGATTCAAATGGAGGAAGTAAACTCCATTTTCCAATGTTTTAATCTTCTATATATAACATTATAAGGAATAAACAAAAAAACACAATTAGACATAATAAGCAATTTCAGTAAGGTTACAGTACACAAGATCAATATACAAAAATCAACTGAATTTCTATATACTAACAATGAACAATCTAAAAATGAAATTAAGAAAATTCCATTTATTATAGTATCAAAAGTGAAACCATTTATATGAATTGCCCATAATAGGTAAATCCATATAGATGGAAAGTAGATTGGTGGTTGTCACATGGGAGGGGGATGGAGAGTGGCAGCTAATGGGCATAGGGTTTTTTTTGGGGGTGGGTGCAAGAAAATATTAGTGGTGATGGTTGTACAACCTTGTGAATATAGTAAAAATGAATGAATCGTACACTTTAAAAATGTGGATTTTATAGTTTGTAAATTTATCTCATTTTTTAAAAGAAAAAAATACTTAAGAAAAGTTTAACAGAGTTATATATAATTACGTAGTTCTGTCTGCTGAAAGGACCTGAGAGCAGAGACACTACCGTTGCAATGAGCATACTTAGCACCCAGATCTTAGTTTCTGAATACAGGGAACCAGGGCTCGTGGGGGAAATGCTTGATTCCAGAAAGGACAGGAGCAGGGAAAGTACATGGCGATTTGGAATACCTTGGAAGTAACAAATTATGGAAGTGCTCAAGGAATGAAGGGGATATATCAAAAGGACACAGGAGCCAAATTGAAGAGGCTACCATTGACCAACTCTAGGGCAATATGAGATTCAAAATAAGCAAAGTAATGAATTATAATTCATTCAGTAAAATTCATGAGCCCATACTGATGTAAAATAAATGAATAAGTAAATAAATGGGGCATCTCAGGATCCTTAATCACACCTGCAAAATTCCCTTTGCTATGTGAGGCAACATAGTCACAGGCTGTGGGAATTAGGACATGGGCATCTTTGGGGGCCATTATTCTTCATAGTACAACCCTCAACCTTCTATGGGCAGAAAGCAGGCTAAGATGACCACTCAGTTGTAAATACAGACCCTTGGCCATTCCAACATGCCCACAATAAGGGGAAGTGTAATGGAGAGGAAGTCAGAGTGGAAAGAGAAAATTGTCATTCAAATAGCTTTATTTTGCAAATTTTACAAATACATATAACAATGTGAACATATTGTTAGGTTCTGCCACCCCTCAATCCTGAGGGTGTTGGAAAGGGTTTGTGCAAGTTAGGGACCTTGAAGCTTAAGCTTCAAAGGCTTCATGGTAAATCTGCCTCTTGTAGCAATTAAGAATATGGCACCTGGATCCACACCACCTGGGTTCAGGTTCCCGCTCTACACTTACCAGCTGTGTATGTTGATTGCATTGGTGTTACAGATCGGGTTCTCCAGAAGCAGATGCTGAGATGAAGTTTGAAGTGCAAGATATTTGTTAGGGATCAACATCTGTGAAAGGGACAGGAAGCAGGAAAGGGCAGAGGAAGAGGTCAAAGAGGCTTGACAAAGCATTGATTAATGTGGCAGGAGGGCTAGAGCTAGTATTGCCTGTCAGAGCTGTCTCATGTTGGGCCTAAATGGCTGGGCCTTTATTCCCTCACCTTGCTCAGTCACTGGATGGCTATTAACGCCACCGTAAGAACTTCCACTGGGGGACTTCCCTGGTGGTCCAGTGGTAAAGAATCCACCTTCCAATGCAGGGGACATGGGTTTGATCCCTGGCAACTAAGCCTGTGCGCCACAACTACTGAGCTCATGTGCCTCAACTAGAGAGGCTGCATGCTGCAAACTACAGAGCCCACGCGCTCTCGACCCCAGGCACCACAACTACAGAGCCCACATGCCCTGAAGCCTGCGTGTGCCACAACTAGAGAGAGAAAAACCCACATGCCACAACTAGAGAGAAGCCGTGCGCCGCAACGAAAGATCTGCATGCCTCAACGAAGATCCCGTGTGCCGCAACTGAGACCCGATGCAGCCGAATAAATAAATTTTTTTTTCAATTAAAAAAAAACTTCCATTGGATTTTCATAACAGGCTAAATTTCTTAGTATGACATGCAAAAACACTTCACAATCTGACAGGCCCAACCACAAGGAACTTTTCATCATTTCTGCAACTCAAACTATTTTCCATCTCCGAACCTTGGCATACATAGTACCTTCTCCAGGAAAGCCCATCCCTCCCTTGCCCGACATCTTCCAGACAATTCTTTTTCATCCTTTTGGACCTGCACACGTTGCCCCCTCTGTGAAGCCCTCTCCACCGTCTATGCATGGGGATGGGCTCCCTCCTCAGAGATGCCCTTGCTCACTGCACAACCCTCGGTTACCCTGACAGCACTTTGTGGTTATTTGTTTACATCTCTGTCTCCCCTTGTGAGTCCAGGGTTGGATCTGCTATTTCTCTTTGTCCTCAGCACAGTGGAACAGGTGCTAAATATTTGTTAAATGAATGAATGAGTGAATAACATTGCCTGGGAAAGAGGGGGAAAGAATAAGTAGTAGGATATAATAATAATATTTTTGTTTGCTTCAGTGATCATAGGTATGTCATGTAGAACAGTGACCCACGACCCGAGTTTTTGGTTGTATAGGTCCTAGATTTGTCATGCGCTGACCCTAATGGCCTTCACCCTCTACCTCCGGTCAAAATTCTACTCATCCTTCAAGATGGTTCAGGCGTCAAGTCCTGTGTGAAGCGTTTTCTTTCCCTCTGGTCTGTCACAGCTCTTTACCCGCACCGCTGTTACCATACCATGACATTTACTCTCCCTATTTCTCCATCAGAATCCAGTGATGTTTCTGCATTTCCACCCCTTGATCCAGAGGGGTGAATATTTTTGGATGGCGTTGTACAGCCATAGACTGGTGAATTCATGCCTCACCACACCCGCTGCCTCAATTTCCCCAAGTGTGAAATAGACACAGTGGAAATGTTTTCCCAGGGCTGTGATTTAGTGGAGGGCGGGCGGACACTGAGGTTGCAGGCAGTCCACGCGCAGTCTAGGGAGCTAGAGGGCAAGAAGGTGGGAGGTGGAGAGCGAGGGGAGGGGTCAGAGCGAGGAGGAGCCGGGGGCGGGCCGGGGCGGAGCGTCGGGCGCAGGGCCGGGCTGGAAGGCCTGAGAGGACGCGCGCCAGCGCCGGCGATGGGCCCCGCTGCGCGGCTGGCAGCGCTGCTGGCGGTGCTGGCGCTCCAGGCCGGGGACCTGGCCAGGGTCGCGGCGCGCGGGGACACGTTCTCGGCGCTGACCAGTGTGGCGCGCGCCTTGGCGCCCGAGCGCCGGCTGCTGGGACTGCTGCGGCGCTACCTGCGCGGGGAGGAGGCGCGGCTGCGGGATCTGACCAGGTGAGGGCACGAGGGTGGGGTCTGAGTAGGGGAGACCGAGTCAGAGGACGAGGCCAAGACACTGTGCCACGGCGGGGGTGGGGTGGCAGGGGAGGGGTAACTCTTAGGTTCATCGTCACCCTGCCGGGACCTCACACGCGGTGTCTCACCGTGAGACTGCGATACCATGGTGGCCCAGTGTGACTCCCCAGATACACCATCATCCTGTGTGGGACCTCAAGACACTGTGTCACACTGTGTAGGACCTTTGACTCTGTCCCTCACACACACACACAGTGGCACCCCAATCCAACATCACACCGCCAAGTTGATACACTGTGGAAAAGTGTGGAGCAGCGACTCCGAGGAGGAGTAGGGCCGCCCAAGGTGCTGGGGTCAAGCTGTGTGGGCCCCCAGGCCCTGTGTCACAGAGACACAACGACATTGCAAGAGTGAAATGGAGAGAAGAGTGACACTGTAGCCACGTGTGTGTTGACCGTGTGACCGAGGGAACTGATGTTTAGTATGGGGTGACATTCTGTGACCATGTATGAGATTTATGTGTCATTGAGACTGGGTAGGCATGACACTACGGATATCATAGTCTGCATGTGAAGGATGTCGAGTAATTGTCCAGGTCACTGTATGAATAATGCTTTGTGTTCATCAGTTTATTCAAGACGTATGTTTGAGTGCTTACCATGAGCCAAGCACTGTTCCAGGCACTAGGGAGAGAATGGTGAACAAGACCAAACCCTGCCCTCTAGGAGCTCGGAGTCTGTAACATCATGATTGTTAATCTGAGACGTCCGTCCTTCCCCTTGCTTTCTGCTCTCCCTTCTCTTTACACACGTAACAACTCTAAATACTATAACTGAGATGTTATATGAATATGCAAGTATTTGACACCAAGAAAACACTGGGCAAAACCATAGTTGATGCTAGGGGATGCTGAGTGTAGCACACACCGGCAGATGCTCAGCCAATGTTGTTTTGCTATACAGTCAACAAACTACTGTAAGGCTTGGAACACTGAGGCACTGTCATCATGTATTGACTCTGCAGTGTCAAACAATGAAAGATAAATGATTGGATATGATACCATGTGTATGAATATGTGCTGTGCACCTTCTCCTGGGACACTGAGAAGCTCACAATATGAGAAGCAGAGGTGTAACCACATAGTTATCTGAATATATTAATACTGTATTTATGTCTTGTGACCCTCAGCTGAGCTGAGACCACAGAGGGCTATCTCACAATGTGCTGCTGATAAAACTGTGAGTGAGTGTATGCGGTAGTAACACTGTTTCCAGGCCATATGGGAAGAAGGTGTGAGGGCCACTATGGCTGTGTGGGAGAACCCATGTAGAAGAGAATCAGTTTGTGCGAGGAAGTGTATGTGAGAGATCTTGTTTGTTACTTAATGGTGACTGAATGATGATATAATTTGGTACATGGTCTTAAGTATGTAGTTTGCTTATAAGTGGTTGTATGCATGTTTAAATTTACTGTTAGTTTGAAGTGTATGTGAGAGATCTTGTTTGTTACTTAATGGTGACTGAATGATGATATAATTTGGTACATGGTCTTAAGTATGTAGTTTGCTTATAAGTGGTTGTATGCATGTTTAAATTTACTGTTAGTTTGAAATAGCATGATGATACACACACATGTAGAGTATACGTAAGTGTGTATTATAACAATAAACGATGATAATTTCAATAATTCTTGTCACTTTTTGGAGTAGCATAGTTGCCTAGTGTTCTGTGGGCCCGTGCTTACAGAGCAAAATGATATAATTTTGTTCGTTGGTGGAAGTAGAACAGACTCTTCTCTTTGATTCAAGATGCCATCCTGCTCCCTGCTACTCATGTGCTTGTTCTCACACCACTAATCTCTTTATTTGAGTGGCTCAGGTGGAGATGGGTGTCAGAATCCTGATGCCGGGCCTCTTGGGGAACAGGTTCAGAAGAGAGAGCTTGCAGTGTTGATCACTTCTTCTTTGAATTTCTAAATTTAGAAATTAAATATTTTTGGTGTTGAAACTACTACTCCCTACCCCAAGTTAATGAATAAAAATTATACTAGTTATATTAGGTTGGCCAAAACGTTCGTTCGGGTTTTTCCGTAACATCTTCCAAAAACTTGAACGAACTTTTTGGCCAGCCCAGTAACATATACAGTTGTATACTAGTATAGTATTACGAATACTAGTTATATAATATTTAGCTAACCCGTACCTTTTTTTGTTGTTGCAGTTTAAAAAAACCACCAAGATTTAAAAAGTATCAGCAGCAATGATTTCTGTGCTAGAAATTAAGCATTCAGAATATCTCAGAAGAACCGAGACAAAGCCATTTCTGAATTCCAAAGGAGAAACATATTGAATTAAAATAGCCCATGTATTGTGGTTGGGTAACCTGTCCAGGCTATGTTTAATGCAGGGATTGGGTTGCAAATTTTATGTGCAGATTCTTGAAGGAAAGGATCTGATTTTCCATTCTCAGCATTTGTTAAAGCAAAATTCCATTTAGGAAACCCTGAGGTTTGAATTCAGCATCCAGTAACTCGGTCTCCGAAAACCAGCTATTGGCTCAGAGGCTGAGCATAAGGCCAGCGTTTAGATTCCAAACCAGCCTCAGATAGCAGTTGATAGGTCTTTTTTTCTTTGTGTGACAGAAAGATGACATACCTGAACACTGAATTGAATTATGTGCTGCAGTAGAGATCAAACCCCTGCCCTAAATAAATTGACACCATAATACAAAGTGGGATGTGAAGAGAACAAGGAGATGTTGCCTTTGATCTGATGGGTGACTTGGAACAGATCTTCACCTCTCTGTCTTGCTTTCTCTTTGTGCCTCAGTTTCCTCTGATGCCTGTTATACATTAGTTCTCAAGCACCAGATGAGGAATCTGTTTATTCAGTTGTGGAAAACGTGATGGAAAGAAATAATAGAACGGTTGTGCCGAAAGGATTCATAGAGTTATTCTAGACTAGACCAGTTCTGCCATTTTATAGAGGAGGAAACTGAGGGATAGGTGGAGCCTGGGTCAGGATACCTCTCAGGTCTCCTTCCAGCTCCTCCGCATTCAACTGTCTTATAAAATCCCTGCCCGCTCAGCCTCAGTTTTTCATGGACACTTACCCTTCAGGCTGAACTCAAGCCCAAGTCTCTGCTTGTGTTTTTGTCTAGCAGTGGAATATCTTTCACTAAGTAGTTCCATATGGAGCTGAAGCAGGAAATAATGGGTAGTAAAAAAAAAATCCCACACCCTGGAGGCTGGTTTAGTTTCAAAACCCTAGAGTAGCTGCTCTCAGATACCGCTGTCTTGGGGATCAGAGACGTCCTGGGACTTGACAGTCTTCCTATTTCCTCCCTGGGGCACCCAGGTGCAGATCCTTTTTCCTTAGTTTATGCTTGAATTGAACATTTGGCTCGCTAGGAGCACCTCTACCCGAAGCAAGTATTCTGTTTCAGGCTGTTTATAGTTGAGGCCCCCTGGAGAAATCCTTAGTTCTGACTGTTTCGCGGGATTGAAATCCGCCACCATCCTACCACTCCCTCTATTCGTCACTTCCATCCCTTTCCACTCACTGAAGTCCTCCACTCTGGCCAAAGGACTCTTCTATTCTCACGTGCTCTTGCATACATTCATATAAATCCATATCCTTTTCACTTTGCTCACACTTCCTTTTCTTAAAAAATATTTATTTATTTATTTATTTATTTTTGGCTGTGTTGGGTCTTCGTTGCTGCACACGGGCTTTCTCTAGTTGCGGCGAGCGGGGGCTACTCTTCGTGGCGGTGCATGGGCTTCTCACTGCGGTGGCTTCTCTTGTTGCGGAGCATGGGTTTTAGGCATGCGGGCTTCAGTAGTTGCTGCACGTGGGCTCAGTAGTTGTGGCTCGCGGGCTGTAGAGCGCAGGCTCGGTAGTTGTAGTGCATGGGCTTAGTTGCTCCGTGTCATGTGGGATCTTCCCGGACCAGGGCTTGAATCCATGTCACCTGCATTGGCAGGTGGATTCTTTTATTTTATTTTATTTTATTTATTTATTTTTGGCTGCATTGGGTCTTCGTTGCTGCACACGGGCTTTCTCTAGTTGTGGCGAGCGGGGGCTACTCTTTGTTGCGGTGCGTGGGCTTCTCATTGCGGTGGCTTGTCTTGTTGTGGAGCACGAGCTCTAGACACGTGGGCTTCAGTAGTTGTGGCACACGGGCTTCGTTGCTCCACGGCATGTGGGAACTTCCCGACCAGGGCTCGAACCTGTGTCCCCTGCATTGGCAGGTGGATTCTTAACCACTGCGCCACCAGGGAAGTCCCCACACTTTTTTCTTTTACTTCCATTGTTGTTATTGTATTGTTTTCAAAATTAATAATTTTAAAACAAAGGGAAAAAAGTCTTAGAGGGCAGGACTAGAACTCTTAAGTCTGCCTTACTATAACTAATAACTTTCAACAATATAAATCCTGTTAGAGGGTTAGCAGTGGAATAACCATAGTATGCCAGGAAAGGAAACAGCATCTTTTGCTTGTATGAACACTCTTGTAGGACATCGAGGAGGAGAGAAATTAATGAGAAAGATGATCACTTCTGGCCCCAACATTTCTGGCCATTTTCTGCAAATGTTGGCAAACCAGAAAGGGTGGAAACATGCTGGATAACCCACCTGTTCATTCCCCATTGCAACCATCCCCAGTTTCTATATGATCTGCTTCCTAAATATCTCTCCTGACACCATCCCATTCTCTGCTCCCACTGTCACTGTTATGGTCTTTCTGCCTCTGGTCACTTCCACTTCTAACCCCTCCTCCCCACCCTCTTACAGATTTATATATGTAATGTATCATAGCGCGTTCCACTCTCACTTAAAACCTTTTGCTGCTCCTAATTGCACACAGGGTAAAAATCAAATTTCTCAGAAAGGTCTATGAGGCGCTCCTCACTTCTCCAGTCTAGTCTCCCCATTCTCCCAATATACCCCGTGCTCCAGCAGTACTAAACGGCTTGTAATTTCCCTGTTTCTCTCTGTACCTTTGCATATGCTGAACTGTCTCTGCCTGCCTTGGAAGGAGGCCTCCTTCTCCCTTCCTCATTATCTGCATTTACCCACCACGCCAGTTTATTATCTCCTCTGTGAAACCTTCTCTCACCTGCTCTGGCCAAGTTAATCACCCCCACTGTGTACTCTCTACTAAGCCTTGTTCTTAAATCTGGTGTTGCACCTGTAATGTAATTACTTATGATCTCAAAGGCTGCAAGTCTTTAAGATCAAGGTTATTGTCTTATTAAAAATTTTGTTCCTAGCTCCTAGAAGAATGTATTTCATTTATTCTTTCATAGAAATATATATTGAACTTAGGAAAAGAGTGATGAGAAATCAGCTATTTTCTTGTCCATGAAACCCTTGATCGGACTCCCCTGGTAGCACAGTGGTTAAGAATCTGCCTGCTAGTGCAGGGGACACGGGTTCAATCCCTGGTCCAGGAAGATCCCACATGCCGTGGAGCAACTAAGCCCGTGTGCCACAACTACTGAGCCTGCGCTCTAGAGCCCGTGCTCTACAGCCCGTGAGCCACAACTACTGAGCCTGTGTGCCACAACTACTGAAGCCTGAGAGCCTAGAGCCATGCTCTGCAACGAGAGAAGCCACTGCAATGAGAAACCTGCGCACCACAATGAAGAGTAGCCCCCAATCGCCGCAACTAGAGAAAGCCTGCGCACAGCAGTGAAGACCAACACAGACAAAAATAAATTTAAAAATAATCATAATAGATAAATTCTCCTCTTCTCCTTCTTCCTCTCCCTCACCCTTTCCCTCCTCTTCCCCTCCCCTTCCCTTTCACCATCCTTTCCCCCTCCTCCTTATTAAAAAAAAAAAAAGAAATCCTTGATCATTGGACCCTGTCTTGCCTGTTTATCCTCAGCTTCCAGCATGGAGTCTGACATCTAGCAAGTGACTTACTGAATGATCAAATATATGTCAAGCCTCTGTGCCTTTGGACACATTGGTCCCTGTTGGCTCAAAAAAACTACTCTCCTCCCTCCTTTGCTCTAGCTCCATGGGAAACAGTGTGGCAAAATCAGCCAAGAACCCCAGCTTCAGAGTCAGGCAGGCTTGGTTTCATTCCTGGCTTTGCTGTTTACCAACAGCGTAGCCTTGTTGCAGTTTCCCCTCCTGTAAAAAGTGCATGATAAAATCTATTCTAAGCATCATTGCGGGGATTAAATGAGACAATATGTTTAAACCACTTAAAAGGATGCCTAATACATGGTAAGTGCTCAATAGTAGCTATTATATTTTAACTAATCCTTCAGAACACAGATCAGGTGCCTTATCCTCTGGAAAGTCTTCCCTTGCACCTTCTAACTCCCACCTGGGTTAGGTGCCCTACCTACAAATTGCCAGAGCATTTTATAGTATTATATGCTCTCTTCTCTCACAGCACATATCACAGTTTTCATAATTAATTCAACAATGTTTTTGAGCTTCTACCAGACTCTAAGTTTTGATTATAGAGTGATAAGAGAAAAAAGGATTTTCTTATTTGTGACCTCCTTGAGAGCTCCACTGTCTCTTGCCTTTGGGTCTCAAGCATCTAGCATGATAGCTGACGTACAAAAATTGACCGGTGGAGACTGACTCACTGAATGAACAAATGAATGGACCTACTTTTGTTGTGTTAGTAGTTTTCATATTCTTTGTGCTTATTGCTTAGAATATTACATGAGTCTCAAGGGGTTCAGCATTTCATTTTTAACTACTCTAAATGTGCATACACCATGCCAGCCTTCAGTCGGTAGAGTGGTTGTATCAGTAGGTGAGATCATTCTACTCCTCTCTTTCAGATTCTATGACAAGGTGCTATCTTTGCATGAAGATTCAGCAACCCCTGTGTCTAACCCTCTGCTTGCATTTACTCTCATCAAACGCCTACAGTCCGACTGGAAGAATGTGGTACATAGTCTGGAGGCCAGTGAGAACATCCGAGGTAATGAGGAGGAGGGCTGGAGGGTGAGAGAAGATTCTATCTCCTGACTTAGTGGAAAGGAGAGAGGTTCTGAAGGGATGTGATGAAGGATAATGAAGTGGGTAGGTATTACTTGACCTCCTTAGCTCTATTACAAAGAACTAGGTCCCTTTGTTAATATGTTTATATGATTATAATTAGAAAGCACTTTTTTCTTTTTTTTTTTCTCAGTAAGTTTTTAGTTTAGTGGTTTTTTTTTTTGGCTGCACCACGCAGCACGAGGAACTTCCCTGACCAGAGATTGAACCTGCACTCCCTGCAGTGGAAGTGCGGGGTCTTAACCACTGGACCACCAGGGAAGTCCTAGAAAGCACTTTCATATCCATTATCTCATTTGATCTTCACTCCAATCCTGTGAAGAACTATAGGTTATATCATCCCATTTACATACATGTAAAAGTGATGTCTTCTTTTTTTTTTAATATATTTTTTTTGATGTTGACCTTTTTTTTTTTTTTTTTGCAGTACGCGGGCCTCTCACTGTTGTGGCCTTTCCCGTTGCGGAGCACAGGCTCCGGACGCGCAGGCTCAGTGGCCATGGCTCACGGGCCCAGCCGCTCCGTGGCATGTGGGATCCTCCCGGACCGGGGCACAAACCCCAGTCCCCTGCATCAACAGGCGGACTCTCAACCACTGCGCCACCAGGGAAGCCCAATGTTGACCATTTTTAAAGTCTTTATTGAATTTGTCACAGCATTGCTTCCATTTTATGTTTTGGTTTTTTGGCTGCGAGGCATGTGGGATCTTAGCTCCCCGACCAGGGATCGAACCCACACCCCCTGCTTTGGAAGGCAAAGTCTTAACCACTGGACTGCCAGGGAAGTCCCTAAAAGCGATGTCGTCTAATAATTTCTGTTTTATTAAGTTGCCACCGCAGTGTGATCTGTAGTAAGATCACTTTCCTAATTTACTGTACTTTGTACTTGAAGAAGTTTGTTGACTTTGGGGAAGTTAAGAGGAAGAAGAGTTTGTCCCCCAAAAGGCAAGACTCCTGGAGACAGGTAGAATGGAACAACATGATAAAGGTGCTTAGTTTTTACTCTAGAGTGTCTGTTCCTCATTCAGAAGATTTTGTTACCCTGGGAACAAAAGCAGATAAAACATTATCTTTGCTCATGAAATATTATGAGCCTGATGATTATGGTGATTAAGGTGATGATGCCTTGCTGTATTAAATGCTCACCACCTGTTTTTTGAATGGTAGATTGATGCTTTCATGACCTTTACAGCTCTGAAGGATGGTTATGAGAAGGTGGAACAGGACCTGCCAGCCTTTGAGGACCTTGAGGGAGCAGCAAGGGCCCTGATGCGGCTGCAGGATGTGTACATGCTCAGTGTGAAGGGACTTGCCCGAGGCGTCTTCCAGAGAGTCACCGGCTGTGCTGTCACTGACCTGTACAGTCCCAGACGGCTTTTTTCCCTCACGGGGGATGACTGCTTCCAAGTTGGCAAGGTAATGATATTCAGAGAGAAGGCAAATTGCTCAGCTCTCTTTCTGGGGGATGAAATCACTATATCCCGATTCCTTTTACATATTTCTAATCCTGACAGCAAACTTGGAAATTTGGTATTATTCCCCATTTTCAGATGAAGAAACTGAGGTTCAGAGAGGGTAAATAACTTGCCTAAGGTTACACAGTTTTAAGGAGCAGAACTAAAATTTGAACCTGCATCTTTTAACTCTGAATCCCATGCTCTTTCCATAATAAGGAAATCACATACTTAGGATACTCTTGAGAGTGAAGGAGGTGTTATTAGCCAGGATGATAGACATAAAATGGGACTGTCCTGGGAAAAATGGCCCTATGGTCACCCTAAGTAGAGCACCCCACCAGTAGATGAACAGCCAGGTGGAAAGGAGAAGCAGGGTCAAAGGATGGGGGAAAGGAAAGGAAATGGTGATGTGAAGGTCGATCACGGAAACTCAGCCTCCTGAGACTTTGTGAAATCCCTTGCAACATTTCCTAGGCATTTATAAATACTAAATTAAAGTAGTGCCAAAACACAGGCCATTTGGGAATTCCCTGGTGGTCCAGTGGTTAGGACTCTGCACTTCTACTGCAGGGGTCACAGTTTCGATCCCTGGTCAGGGAACTAAGATCCTGCAAGCCGCGTGCTGTGGCCAAAGGAAAAAAACATCATCGTTTTAACATTGCTTGAGAAAACAGATTTCAAGAACCTTCCTTATGAGAAATTTAACTGATCTTTGATCACAAGTTTTAAACACTCTTGAGGTTATTTTACAATATATTCTTTGTTAGCCTTTGCCCAAGAATTAATGGAGTAAATCCTTTTTAATTTTAAAGATGCATATTGCAGGAAAGTGAATTTTTCCCAGCCCCTGCAGTATTCATTAGCCGATATAAGCGGGGGCCTCATGTGTCCTGAATCCAAGTTTTGAGAATCAGTCTTCCAAATTAATGTGGAGAGGGTTGCCCTAAGCCTCTCTGTGTGCTATTTTTCCTTTTCTGAAATCCTGAATAGAATCAGAGCTGAATCATCCTGTTCATGGCTAATTTAAATTGAAGCCAGTTAAAACAGCTCCATGTATGGTACCAATATATGCTTCCTTAGTGAGGCTTTTCTGAGACTAAAACCATATGTTGAAAATTCAGTAAGTCGCTTCCTAAAAGTCTCACTGGCAATCCTTATTTCTGTATTTATTTACTTATTTTGAAAGATAAAACATTTCAAATATAAGAAAAGTACACATAAAATAAGAAGCAATTATATCTATAATTGAGATGAAATATATGTCCAAATTTTGCTATATTTGTTTCAGATTTTTTTTCAGATTTTTTAAAAAGAATTTACAGATAGCTAAATACAGCCCTACTCCTTTTCCTTCTCACCACTCCCACCCTTTCTACTCTAACCTTGCCCAGGTACCAGGTGACCACTGTCCTAAACCATACAGTAAGTGCTCTTGAGTCACTCAGCATGTTGTATCTGTGAAATTCATACATGTTGTGGCATTTATCAGTAGTTCATTCCTTTCTATTGCCGACTAGTATTCCATTGTTTGAATATACCACAAACTGTTTATCCAATCTCATGTTGATGGATACTTGATTTGTTTCCAGCATCAGCTAGAATAAAGCTGCTATTAACATTCTTATGTATGTGTTTCTGTGGACATTTGTTTTCATTTCTCTTGGTTAAATACTTGGGAGTGGTATTGCTGGGTCGAAGAATAAACTTTGATAATTATTAACATGTAGACAAATCTGTTTCATCTGCACCCTCCTCCATGGATTATTTTAAAGCAGATCAATCTTTCTATTTTCTGAAATTCTTAATTGTCTAGTTTTACTACCCTCCTGTTGTGTTGGTTGACTCTTGTTCATTGTCAGTTGTTTCCTGATATAGTTTATCATTTTTGATTGTGAGCTTATTTTTATCAGGACTTTTTCCCCCCTAAGAGCCTTTTTCTGCCCAGAGTTGTAGGAATATCCCTTCATAGTGCTTTGTGTTTTCTTCTTCCAGGTACTCTGGTGGTATCACTAGCCTTAGATACTTTTTTTTTCCCCCTGTACATTACATCCCCATGACTTATTTATTTTATAACTGGAAATTTATAACTTTTGACCCCTTTCACCCACTTCGCCTACCCCCTACCCCTGGCCTCTGGCAACCAATCTGCTCCCTCTATTTATGGGATTGGGGTTTTTATTTTTTTTTGGTTTTGTTTCTGTTTTTGTTTCCACATGTAAGTGAGAGCATATGATATTTGTCTTTCTCTGTCTGACTTATTTCACTTAGCATAATGCCCTCGAGGTCCATCCATGTTGTCACAAATGGCAAGATTTCATTCTTTTTAATGGCTGAATTATATAGATCACATTTTCTTTATTCATTCATCCATTGATGGACACTTAGGTTGTTTCCATATCTATTTCTCTGAATAGAGGCCAGACAGAAACCAACCAACTTTCTTGTCTCCTTATGACAGTGGGTAGATT